TTTTTTCAATTCAAGTGAATATAATGCTTCACCCTTCAGTTATGTAAACACAAAACAACTAATTTACCTTATGTGTGTTAGGCGGAGGTAGAGTCTCAGCAACAAAGTTTGCTGATGGTGGAAGAAAGGGACTGTTTCTTCACTTTGTCTTCTTTGCATCTTGAGGTAAAGTGACATAAAAATACTACTCATCTGTGTCGACTACAACACAACACAGACCTTGTTAGTAGAACTGATCCCTAAAGCTGAACATTTTACTGTAATAAGCCTCAGTGTGTCTCACTGCCTGAAGTTGGCACCGTTATACGTTTCCAGCACTGGCGGGGCAGGTGTTAGTACACTACAGAGAACATCTAATATCCTCCCCTGACACATCAAGGCTCACGGGTCAACAAATCACAAATATGTGGTTTACGGACCTGTAATACTCTAGAAACTCAAATTAAAAATATTACTAATAATAATAATAATGATGACATTTAATTCTGGATGTTACGTTAATCAGTTAAGCTCAAACAGGTAACTTGCACTTACCTTAACCCCTTTCTGTAAAACAAAACAATATTGTATTAGATATAGAATGTATGTGCGTCCATTAAACAGGCTGCTTTATGAATCATAGTACTAACACAACCAATATTTAACATCTCTACATAATAAGGACTACAAAACACAATTATGTTGTGGTTGCCGAGGTAGTGAGATAGAATATTTAGGGACAGTGTGTATTTGAGGCTGTGTGGGACTAAAAAACCTAATTAGGGTTTTGCCAATGTAAGTGTCTGTAAATCTCTTAGGGAAGCCATTATTAAAGAGTAGTTACTTTATGTATTTTAGTTCAATGTCCAAGTGGAAATAGCTTGAACAGATATTGAAGGCTCTGTTGGTAAGAGTACGTACTAGATTATGTTTGTAATGAAGAGGAATAAAAGATGAAAATTTTGAACTCAAACCCGTGAAAGTTGGTTTTCTGTATAAGGCTGTCTCGAAACTATTATGAAGACGGTGGATATTAACATCAAGGAATGGAAGAATATTTTCCTTTTCCAATTCACAAGTAAATTTGATGTTGCCATGTTTCGAATTTAAATAATTTAGGAACATAGGGACGTGATCAAGTGATCTGAAAATTAAAAAAGTGTCATCAACAAACCGACGATAGAACAAAAGCTTAAATTGGGGGGGACATTCGGTAAGCCAAAGCTTCTCGTGGTGACAGAGGAAAGCGTTGGCCAACGTGGGACCTAAAGGTGAACCCATAGCAACACCATCACATTGTTTAAAGCTTTGTTATTAAATAAAAACAAACAATCATTTAAAGCTAGTTTTAAAAATTCTTTAAATCTGTAGGAGGGTGTAGAGATGTGTAGGAGGGTGTAAAGGGTGTGCTGAAGATGTGTAAGGATGGATAGGGATGTGTAGGAGGGTGTAGAGATGTGTAGAAGGGTGTAGAGATGTGTAGGAAGGTGTAAAGGGGGTGCCGAAGGTGTGTAAGGATGGGTAGGGATGTGTAGGAGGGTGTAAAGGGTGTGCTGAAGATGTGTAAGGATGGATAGGGATGTGTAGGAGGGTGTAGGGATGTGTAGGAGGGTGTAGAGATGTGTAGGAGGGTGTAAAGGGTGTGCTGAAGATGTGTAAGGATGGATAGGGATGTGTAGGAGGGTGTAGGGATGTGTAGGAAGGTGTAGAGATGTGTAGGAGGGTGTAGAGATGTGTAGGAGGGTGTAAAGAGGGTGCCGAAGGTGTGGAAGGATGGATAGGGATGTGTAGGAGGGTGTAGGGATGTGTGTGCTGGGGGGTGTAGAAGATGTGTGTGGGAGATTGTGGAGATGTGTGGGAGGGTGTGGGGTGTGCTGGGGTGTGAAAAGGATGGATGGGGATGTGGGAGGGGTGTGGGGATGTGTGGGAGGGGTGTGAGAGATGTGTGGGGTGTGGGGTGCTGGGGTGTGTAGGATGGATAAGACATGTGGGAGGGTGTGGGGATGGGGAGGGCATGCAGATGTGTAGGGAGGGTGTGAGAGGATGTGTGGGAGGGTGTAGATGTGTGGGGAGGGTCTGGGGTGCCGAGGGTTGCAGGATGGATGGGGATGTGTGGGAGGGTGTGGGGATGTGTAGGAGGGTGTACAGATAAATTTATGTAACATATTATCAGTTTTGAAGTGACCATCACTAAGGTTTATTGATTTTAATTCCTTAATCAAACTAGCTTCAACCAGAAGTCTTCCTGTGACACAAGATGATTTGAATACTTCTAAGCTTTTTTCCCCAAGTAATGGGATGATTATTACTCCTAACATGAACCAACAGGGCACTGCTAAGGTGTTGTTTGATTCTGAGCTGCAGTGTTTTTCCTGTCTGTCCTACATAATTACAATTACATTTGCTATTACACTTGCTATTTCTTATTAACATATTGGTAATGGTTGAGTCATACATGAAAACAACATTAATATTTAGCAGCTTGAGGGACCGAACTAACGGGACAAATTCATTACGATAGGGCAGTCAGAATATTCTTAAGTGTAGGAATTTGTCTGGTTTGAGAGGAATGAAAGGATTATTTAGCCCTTTTAAAACAACGATCAACCTATAGATAATACAAAAGCAAGAACTAAGTATATGAAGCGATTAAATCTTTTATCTCCTTCTATATATATGTTTCTGAATGTAAAGTGTACTGATATGATATTGTATTTGATGTTGTTGCTAGGGGTAGCGGCGAGTCAGACGTATTAACCCATAACAATTTTAATAGCTCTGTGTGCCAATTGTAATACATGGCATAACATTAACCAAACCAAAGTTTTAATCATACCTTAATTTAAATTCCTGGCGGAGGGTGAATCAAGTCCTGGTGTAGTTAACTGTGGTGAATACTCTTGTAGTTCCCACATGTTTTAATTGACTTCACTTCAAAAAGGACACTTGGAAAATTCACTACGGTACCTCGTCTCGTACTTTTAATGTTCACTAGAAAAAGGGATTCCACGCGTGAATTTTTCTTTAACCTTCAATTAGGTTCACTACCTCCGTTAACACTATTTATTTCCATTAATCCAATCAAGTTATGGGCCCATAACACTTCACTTGGCATCAGTGACAAATATCCTCTAATCTCATCGAGTCACTTCACCTTTTAACCAATATTTCCCATATATTAACACAACACTTCACGTTACGGGTCCTCCAGCACTTCACAACTACGAACACTTCCACTTATATCAGTATATAACACCGAAAGAGTATCAAGTTTTAAGGAAATTGTCAAAAATGAAGGAATAATGCACACGTCCACCTTGACCATGTACTGGACACGCACAGCGAGTCATGTTGTGGCTGTCGAGCTGCCCATACCAGGGTTGCCAACTCGGCTTTTCAAATGTCGCTAGGCTGGTACCTAAAAGTAGCTAAATGTTGCTAAATCTTCCATGGAAAGTCGCTAGCTATTATTCCCCCCCTTCAGTAATTTGATGCAAATAATATTTTCATAATGCCGACTATAATGGACGGAGTATAAATAAAATGCATTGTGTAAAAATAAAAATATTTTTTTTTTTAAGTTTAATGTGCACACTTACCTATTATTCAATAGTAATTGCATCCCAGTCCTCTTCGTAGTGTGAACAACTGTAGAGCTGGAAGCATGTGAAGTGCTTGGTTCAGGTTCTCTTGTAACTGTATGCCTCCACAGTCCCTATCTTTCTTAAAATATCACTAGGAAGTTCATAACTTGCACAACAGGTGTTCTGTCTTTTTAACCCATACTTTATTGTAAGAATTGCCTTTAATGTCGATACTTTCATTTTGTTGCGCAATTTTGATTTCACAAAGTTCATATTACTAAATGTGCGCTCTACATCTGCGTTTGAGTGCGGAAGAGATAAGGCAGCGAGTGCAATTTCAGCCAGATCATGGTAAGGGTTTTCACCTGTCGCATCTCTGTAATTTGCCACTTCTGACCACAATTTTAGGGTGTTAGATGTTTCTGTCCAGATTGTGTGATGCAGTTTTTTCCACTGGAAATCAATCTTGGTAAGGGTGCTGGAATCTTCTGTAAATAAGTGTGCCAAACCAAGTATATCTGATTTAATAGGCTTCAAGCATTCATCGGCACTCAGAAAAGAAATAGACTGCAGCACACGAATGTTGTCAGGTAAGCGTTGACGAAGTTGTTTTATGAATTCAACCCGTTCAAATGCATTGTCCCTGTAACCCCGTTGCTATATATTATGGCTCGAAATTAGGAAAACCGAGTTTCATGGACAGTCCAAAAGTATCCAGAAAGTCGCTAGATTTCTGTGGATATCTCTAGATTTGCGACAAGTCGCAAATCGCTCTAAAATGTCGCTAGAAAAAAACAAAAAGCTCTAGATCTAGCTACAAAGTCGCTAAGTTGGCAACTCTGCCAGCGAGTGATGTTGTGGCTGTCAGCTGCCCATACATGTTGCCATATCGCCAAAATTTATTGATTTTTAATTCTCTATCGTATAAATCGTTGTTGATGAACCTAAACTTATCCAACTTAAATCCGTTGCTACGAGTAAAATCCATCATGTTTCCTCCGTCAGCTGTGTAATGACACATCAGTTAACGTAAAATCAGACTATTCATATTTCGCTCAATAGCCTACAAAACATGTATTATTTAGTTGTTATTGAGCGATACAGATCTGAGAATTGTTGGAGTGTTCACTATATAATCTTTGTTATGAGAACTGTTCATCATGTGTACAGTAATTGTCGATACTAAATATTAATAATGTTTGCAGTAATATTCACACCACAATGTTTTGACGGGATAACAGTCGAGCCAATCACAACACGTTTGGAGCTGTGTTTCATTCCTCTCAATCTTATCTCAAGTTGTAAATATTTGTTTTTATTATATTTTATAATTAGTGAAATAATTCTAATTCTATATTTTAAAACTAATTAAAGTTTATAGTGAGATATTATTTATATTTATTTGATTTTTTCATTGATTATGTAAATTGTAAACTATTTTAAGTCACGCCAACAGGTTGAGACACAAGCTGTTTTGGTCACAAGTCAGGACTTGTGGATGTTGACCAGAGTCCGCTAATATCCTTCAATATTTAGGTAAGTAGAAGGAACTCTTTTTTATGTTCCATGTATTTTGATAATATATAACAAATTAACTTCATGAAAGAAGTTATTGTAGGTCGTAGTTATGGCGGAAGACGTGAGGGGACAGCGCCGCCTACTGTAAATGATTCATCGCCTTTAACCAATAATTCGGATATCTATGATAATAATTATATACAATGGTCATGTACTTGGTGAAAGATTTATATTTGTACTGTATATAGTTGTAATATCCATGTAGATACTGTTTTAGTTAATGGATAGAGATGGTTGCCACTTTATTTACGGTAAGAAATTAAAGTTAATCTTATATTTAACGGGTATAAAGGTATTCTTGGAAGAGATGACTAAAACCAGCAGGTGTTGTTCAATTTCTTTCATTTTTTCAATATGTTCTTACCATTATGATTTGGTCATTCACGAGTGTTGTCATTTGTTGTTTACTTCTCACCGCCCGTCGCGCAGTGCTCCTTACCTCCGTGTTGGATTCTTAAGCCTCTACAGCGCATGTGTGGGGGGTGGTGTGGGAGTTTCTTATTGGCTATAGCAATAGGAGACTTATAATTGGGCGAGAGTTTTACGTCAATTGCAGATTTTCGTCGGAAAAATAGTGTTAGGTTAGTTAAGGTTAGGTTTGGTTTTGTTAGTTTGTTGGTTTTTTATTTATGTGATTTACCCAAAGAACTATTGATTTCCGGCTGAAATTAATATTAAATTTGTTCGAAACTCATCGAGTAACATTGAAAAAACATATTTTTAATATCTGAACAAAGACTGGTGCATTTGTGAAAATTTACCATTTATTTTACACAGTGTTACAGACACCTGCTCCAAGTGATACGCCATGACAGAAGTGTTCCGGTTCGGCCTCGTGCCCATCGCTTGTCGTGCCCGGAATGAGGACCGCAGCCGTGAGTACCGACCTATATGAAGTTAAATAGCACTTGCCTGGCAGGTAAATTGCCATCTAATTTTCAAACTGAGTTGTATCGGTATCACTTTTCTAGAAGAAGTTTTTGTAATATTTGATGATCTCCCACCAATCACATTTCAGGATGCAATCATTCTGCTAAGTTCTAAAATAGATATGTTAGGTCTCACCATTACCTATAATATGTCATGGAAGCCACACATCCACAACATTGCTAAAACTGCCTTCCGAAAGCTGGGAATGCTGTACAGATGCCGTAGCTACTTTACTCCTGAGCAGTTGCTTCAGTTTATAAGAGATTCATTTGTCCTAACTTGGAGTACTGTGCTCATATCGAGGGTGGCTCTTCTTCTGTCCAACTGTTAGATAAGGTGGAATCAAAGGCATTTCATCTTATTGACTCTCCTCCTTTAATTGATAATCTTTCATCCCTTTCTCTTTGCTTCAATGTTGCTTCACTCTCTTTTTTACAGGTACTTTAATGGCCAATGTTTGGTGGATTTGGCATCCCGTGTACTGCCGGCAAGGCCGTGGACTTGTAACTCTCGTATTGCCCGTGGTGCCCACAGTTTCTCTGTGGGCAATTCAATTTCTTTTTACTCTTATTTTTTTTGCCCCCCAGGCCCCATTGTGGTTCAATGACCTGTTGCTGGGTGGCCTATTCCCCGTAAAAAAATAAAAAATAAAAATAAAAAATAAATGCAACCACAGAATTCTGGAAGATTAGATTAGGTTATTCTTTGGTTGCTGTAATCTGCAATTTTACCTAAGTTTTCAGCCAGACAGCTGTCATAATACAGCATAATCACTGGGGGGGGGGTTCAGTCCTCTTTTTTATACCTGAGCAGGACTGGTTTCCTCTTCTGGTCATAACATGTTCAAAGCTTCTGATCTCTCCCAGTTTGTACCAGAAAGTAGGTGGAGTTAATTTTATTTTTTATTTTTTTTTTCATTATTAGGTTTAGATTTTATTTAGCTACTTAGCTTCTCTGTAGTTTTGTTTTGTTTCTCTAGTTTTGCAACCTCAGTGCATGTGTGTGTATTTCTTACAGAAGTGGCATTGAGTCTCAACAACAATGAAGTGAATATATATGGCAGAGCTGCATCAGAGTGGAAGCTTCAGGAAACACTCCAGGGTCATGATCTGCGTGTCACAGGCATTGACTGGGCTCCCAGCACCAATCGCATTGTTACATGTGGAGCAGTAAGTTTACTGTGTATTTATTTAACCTTTTCATGTGGTTAAGGCATAAATAATTTAAGACTTTAACTTTATCTTTTTTGGTTCAGTTAGTTTTGTATTGTAACATATACATTTTTTCACTCTATGGTTGTACTTAACAGATCTATCAACCACACTTTTTACTTAGCAAGTGGAGTGGAACTTATAACAACCCTCACGAGCAGCTGATATTTTCTATGTTGTGTTATATAGTTCCTGGTAATAATGGGAAGCTATTCTTGGTGTGAAGGTTTGTACTGATTGTGTCACCTTAACCACTTGTGCACTGGGTCCACACTCTGCTGAATAAAATTGTCTGGCATTAGCCGAATAAAATATTAAAAGTGGTTTCCAAATACAGGGTAGTGAGGAGGTTAAAAAGGAAAAAAGCATTGTAGATGAATGCAAATGCTCGGTTCTTAATTTCCCGAAATAACTTGGCGCCATCGGCAAACATTTGTATGGAGGAGTGTGTGTGGTATGAGGAACTCCAGAGACAACCATTTTGTGATATAGAATATTATTGATATGGATATGTATTTTTGTAAGCTTCGAGGAGGAAAACGTAATTATGTCTTGTGAATCCGCGCTAGAACGAATATGGGGGGGGGAGAGACGCCATGGCGTTGTTTACATCCCGGGGCCCAGTAGCAGGTAGGTCCCACGTATTTCTTTGCTCTGTTAGAGTGTGTTTGATAGATTGAGCATAATAAATGTTATATGAAGAATGTGATGATCTCGTGGAGGTAGTCTGTAAGCCAGAATAAGGCTAATTCTAGTTTTGCTGTACAGACATTCACCCTGGAGTGAGTCGACAACAACAGCCACTCCCCTGTGTTGTGCTGGTAGGTTGGGTTTTTTCGTTATTGTTTAATTCCTACGACTGTGTGTTACAAATATGTGAATATGACAACAGTTGACGCTTGTTTTGTAAGTATAACGTAATAATGTATAACAACTAGATATGTCTGATCTAGGTCCCAAACTCTTCCTTCTCGGGTGATTTCTAGAGTAAATAAATGAGAGAAAACTACAAGTGTGTGTCCTATCACTGCTTTGTGCTTTGCTACACCATTATATATATATATATATATATATATATATATATATATATATATATATATATATATATATATATATATATATACCCAACAGTTTTTTAACTGAAAACCCATTTTCAAAAGCGATTATGGTAACATCTTTTTGATGAAAGAAAATTGAAAGTCATTGGCACGTCTCTTTTCACTTCTTAATACTCGTCATTTCGGCAAAAATATTACACATTCCATATTACTCAGAAGCCAAAATGGCCCAAGTTTTTGCTGAAGCACGTAGCGCGCTGTTTTCAATGTAAATTGGGATAAACTACGCGAAACAAGGAAACTTACCCCTCGCCTTCATTGATAAAGAATATGTTGCTAGATTTTTGGCCGTTTTAGATTCTAAATCTTCTTTACTATTCAGTGATATTCTATTCGCTTTTCGTTGGCGATATAAATACATTCTGTGTAAATATTTTTGCAGCTTCCTGATGCTGATGTCAACACAAGCGTGGTTACAGCGAGACTGACTGAGTGAGGGAGAGCTATGCGTGTGTGTGTGTGTGTGTGAGGTTGCAGGAGCAGGCGGTGTCCCGTGTTCGGGGCCGCGTGCGAGTTGAATGGCGCGCGATTTGAATGTACTTCAATTACTTCAATGTACAGAATATTCCTCCGGCGGGGCAATCCGCGTATTTGCAAATCCGTGTATGCTAAACCAGCGTATGTTAAGGGCCAACTGTGTGTGTGTATGTATATATATATATATATATATATATATATATATATATATATATATATATATATATATATATATATATATATATATATATATATATATATATATATATATATATATTTGTTTAACAGTGCATGAGTTTTTAAATGCCACATTGACGTTCCAGGTTTTTAGTTGTAAAGGAATTTGAGAAAAATTTTTGTGAAACGGTAATACTAAGAGATTCTTATGGTAATGGGTGGGCTTGGTTCTATAGAAAGATTTCTTAGTAATGTTAAGGCATTTGTCTATGAAAGATCTAGGGTACTGAAGGTTCAAGCCAATATTATAGATATATTTATATTCCTCATCAATAAATTCCGGGCTGCAAATTCTCAAAGCACATAAAAACAATGATGAAAATACTGACTGTTTGACTATTATGGTGGGCAGAATAATAATGAATGTATGAACACACATGAGTAGGTTTCCTATAAATACTGAACTTGAAGGTGTTACCTATTCTGTGGATCAGACAGTCTAGTAAAGGCAATTTACAGTCATGCTCTAATTCCACAGTGAATTTGAGCAAGGGGGCTAAGTTGTTAAGTTGTGGCAGTTGAAAAGAAACTATTAAGTAATGTTTTACCACCTTCAGCAGTCTGGTTTAGATATGTTGATGATGTATTATGTCTCTGGCCATGTAATGAGGACCTAAAAGCATTCCTGCCACAACTTAACAACTTAGCCCCCTCTATCAAATTCACTGTGGAATTAGAGCCACATTTTATCAAAAGCTTTTGATACGTCTCTGAGAACAATATTGCACTGGTTTTTATTGCTGACGGCGTTAGCTATTGATTCTCAAATTAATGCAATAGCCGTGTTTGTGCCTCGGTTCTTTCGGAATCCGTGTTGTCTGGGGTTATATTTGTTTTCCTGTTCTAGATAGTTTCTGAGTCTGCTGTTGACTATTTTTTCTAGTATTTTTCCTGGTGTTTCTAATAAGGATATAGGTCTGGGGAAGTGTCCTGTTGCTAGTGAAGCGTTAAAGATTTGTGGGTATGTTTTGAAGGACTGTTTTGTTTGTCTGACTTAGTCCAGGTGCTTTATTTTTAAAACTGGTTATTATGTTTCTTATGTCTTTGTGGTGATTGGCAAGGTTAATGTGTCTGCACTGATTAGTATGTTGAGGTCTATTGTTCTTGGTGGTTGCCATTTCTGTGTGTTTAGTGTAAGGTGTGTTGTTACCATCTGTTCTGTTACTCTACAATAGTTTCTGTTTCTTCTTCTGTCATTTTATATATGTTGCTCCAGAAATTTCTGAAGATCAGTTCTTTTTCTACAGATTCTCTAGCTTTTACCCCGTTGTCGTCTATAAGATGACTGTTATCTATGGAGTTAGTGCCCATTAGTTTTTTATTTTACTCCAGAAAAATTTTGGGTTGTGATAATCGGCCTCTGTGTTTGTGATTATCTGGTTCCATTTGTCGTTGTGTGATTGTTTACATATTTCTTTCAGCTCTTCCTTTAGGTTTCTGAAGAGAGTTATTGTTTCTTGGTTCCAGCCGTGTGTATTTGTATGTTCTAGTATGTTATTCAGTCTTGTCTGGATTATCTTCTGTATTTATCTATATCTGTCAGTATCTATTTTATATTTTCATCTCCATGTCTGTATCGCGCAATCTATCTACCTGTCTGTCTGTGTCGAAACTACTGTATTAATGTACCTCTAATTCAGCTGTATCTACCTGTTTGTCTGTCTGTCTGTCTGAACTACTGTATTAATATACATCTAATTTAGCTTGGAATATTCAGGCAAAACTGACAAGCATGGAAGGTTTACAGTCCCAAGAAAGTTGACATAAACCAAACTTGCATAAAACAAACAACTGCTGTACTGAATAACTATTAATTTATGGACATATTTTTATCATAAACTGTTGTGTATATTAAATGTTTTTGTTTGTTTGTTCCAGATGAGTTAACGACTAAACCCTTGAGAAATTAACAACTGGATCATGGAGACTCTGCTGCTACAAGTATGTCTTTGTCTGTCTAACTGTCTATCTTTATCTATCTGTGCTTCTATATCTTTCTATCAGTCTTTCAATACCTGTATGTCAGTCAGTCAGTCTGTCTGTTTGGTATCTATATCATCTGTCAGACTGTCTTTATATATACAAGCATCTGTCTTATCTATATCTATGCTATCAGTAAGAAAGATATTGACAGTGAGTGAGGAAGGTGGGTACACAAGAAGATGTACAGTGGAGTGGATGGCAGACTGCAGGATGTTGCTGACTGTAAGTGTTATGTATGTGCAGGTAAATATGTGTCCATGACAAGACTGAAGAAACTCAACACTGAAGATTATCCGTGGACTGTGTGGATGAGTTCTGCTGCCTGGGTGACATGATCAGTGCTGGAGGGGGTGCTGAAGGCTGCTGTGTTGTGAGTCATGGAATGGGTTCTGCTGCCTTGGTGACATAATCAGTGCTGGATGGGGTGCTGAATGTTGCTGTGTTATTAGTCATGGATGAGTTCTGCTGCCTGGGTGACATGATCAGTGCTGGTGGGGGTGCTGAAGGCTGCTGTGTTGTGAGTCATGGAATGGGTTCTGCTGCCTGGGTGACATGATCAGTGCTGGATGGGGTGCTGAAGGCTGCTGTGTTGTGAGTTATGGATGAGTTCTGCTGCCTGGGTGACATGATCAGTGCTGGAGGGGGTGCTGAAGGTTGCTGTGTTATGAGTCATGGATGAGTTCTGCTGCCTGGGTGACATGATCAGTGCTGGTGGGGGTGCTGAAGGCTGCTGTGTTGTGAGTCATGGATGAGTTCTGCTGCCTGGGTGATATGATCAGTGCTGGATGGGGTGCTGTTCATTTTAAGAGTCATAAATGGCTGGAGGAAGTTTAGGGAACTCTTGTCTTTATTGTCAGCACAAGGACTTTCCCATCACATGAAAGGAAGAATGTATACAACTGGTGTGAGACGTGTGGTGTTATATATCCGTGAAACATGGGCAGTTAAAAAGGATGACATATGCAGTCTTGAGTGAGCTGAAATGAGAATGGTGAGGTGGATGTGTACTGTGACGCTGAAAGATAAGAATCACCGTTCAGAGCTAAGAGGCCAGCTGGGTATTGAGAGTTTCGGCCAAGATGTATGTATAAGTAGACCGAGATCGGGAGTGTGGGGAGAATGGATGAGATCAGCTGGGTTAAGTGGTGTATGAGTCTAAATGTAGTGAGGAGGAGAGCCAGTGGTAGGTGGCCAAGAATGACATGGGGAGAGATTGTAAGAAATTATCTTAGAACCTGACAAGACAGACTGCAAGAGATGGTGTGGAAAATGGGTGTATGATTTGGATGGTGATGATGATTTTGTTCTAACTTTCAGGCTATCTATCTATCTATCTATCTATCTATCTATACTACTGTACTGTATTTCTCACCATATTAAAGGCAACTGCAGATATAGCATGAAAGGTTTATAGTCTCAAGAAAGTTCACCGAAACTAAACTTACATAAAAGGAACAAATATTTAAATGAGAAGAATTGCAATGTGTTCCATAACCTGTACAGTACAGTTGACCCTCGCCAATGTGAGGAACGAATGAAAATAATAATAATAAATAAGAGGAAGGAAAAAATACTGCATGCCATTTGACAACCGTTTCACTAAAGATGTGTGAGACAGGGGTGTGCTCCCCCCTCGTGGGCTGACTCCTGCCGACGTAATAAAAGTTTATTGTGTGTTTTTTTACCTTTTGATAATAATTTTTTGACTAAGTCTGGGAAAGCTTGTGTATGCATGTAACTGTTAAAAAAGTGAATAAAACTACGTATATCTACCCAAAATTACGAGTTGAAAATTAACAATAACACAGCTTGGCCTGGTGTATATGTATACAGTTATATATGATGTTGGGTGAATTATGGAGACATTTGTTAGGTTAAAAATATGTCTTATATGGTGGGAAATATGGTATATCTCTCTACATCTTTCTGTCCATCTGTCTACAGTATATCTGTCTTATATGTACTGTAGACAGAACTACTGTACTAACCATGATAGACAGTTGACAATGCATGTGATTAATACCTGGAATACAAATATTTGCAGGAAAATGTCCAATATATTCACCAACTAGACCACTTTAGTGATATAGAACCAAGAAAATATTGTTTATTGTTTTATACCAAAACACTGGTGATTGTCTCTCAGATACATCAGGAGTTGGTCTGTACTGTATATCTTTAGTGGTGCATCACTGTGTCCTGGGTTCATTCCCCAGCCTGGGACAGATGTTACCCTCACTACCAAACATGGCAGGTTTTCTGCAGGTACAATACTACAGTTTCCTCCCATACTGTACAGTTTTAACAGACCAACTCCCCAAATGGCTCATTACTGGTAATTACGACGTCACTACGTTAAATTATACAAAGGTGAATCCTAATTTAACGTTGACTCGGCCATAGTGAGCTTTAACATTAATGCCACTGATTAATGAGTCTTGATCTCACACAACTATAAGGCGGCCTTCTCTTGCCACTCCATCTTCCCTCTGGCCTTTATTGTGGAAAAGGCAAGAATTATTATTGTGTGAAGATGTAGTGGATCTCTGAGGTGACAATGATAAATATTTTGGTGTTAAGTCGGTGGTGTGAGTCTTGTACTGTGCAGGTCTGACCCACCTGTTACAAACTACTGCAGGGAGTGAAGACCTTCCTTAAAAGGTTTAACTTGGCATTATTCAGAAGGTCACAACACAGATGTCCTCAACGGCACTTGATGGTTTATAGCAAAGCCATTTTTTTTACTTACTTTTGACCTTGATGATGTGGTTCAGCCATTATCAGATGCAGGTCAGGAACACTAAGGACTGTTCCTCTATAATGCTCACTGAGTAAATGAGGATAGTTGCTTCAATGCTCCACGGGGCAGGTTGTTACCAGGTTTTATTTATAATTCACAATTATTACATGGAATTACGGTATACATTTTCCACAATATATACTGAACTGTATACCTGTGTTGTCTATATACATGGTAAACTGTATACCTGTGTTGTCTATATACATGGTAAACTGCATACCTGTGTTGTCTATATACATGGTGAACTGTATACCTGTGTTGTCTATATACATGGTGAACTGTATACCTGTGTTGTCTATATACATGGTGAACTGTATACCTGTGTTATCTATATACATGGTGAACTGTATACCTGTGTTGTCTATATACATGGTGAACTGTATACCTGTGTTGTCTATATACATGGTGAACTGTATACCTGCATTGTCTATATTGTTTTAGCTGTGGTAAGATACCAAACTATCTCGCTTGTTAACACTTGCCTGAACGAGTGTAGGTTAGTCGCTGGTACCTTTGATACAGCTGAGTGAGATATCGGGTCATCTCACCTTTGATACAGTCGTAGATTGGTTGATAGTTTAATCGTCACATCTGTCCTGGGTTGTATTTGTAATTATCTTAGCTTGTAAGTTAAACAAGACACACAGGTGATGTTCTCTTCACTCGTTGTTCCTTGGTTTAATGAAAACACACGTGTTGATTTAATAGTTATATTGGGCCGTAATGTCTGTACAATTATTTGGTATTGACAGACTAATGAGCTTTAGCTATTGGCTTGTAATTAGCTGATATATTTAGAGAGAGGTACAGCCTGGAGAGCTGGTTTCATGACACGACTTTAGGGCATTGTGTCGGGCTGTGAACTGGGCTGAACTCTCTTGAGTCTGGTGACTGGTGGTTGGAGGGTAACCACACTTCAACAGGTCATTAACTAAACAGCCTACCACATACTGAGGGTTGAAACTGTAGTTTAATGGGCTGTACACCCTAGGAGGTGTGACAGAACAAATGTTTATGGGCTGTACACCCTAGAAGGTGTGACAGAACAAATGTTTATGGGCTGTACACCCTAGGAGGTGTGACAGAACAAATGTTTATGGGCTGTACACCCTAGGAGGTGTGACAACAAATGTTTATGGGCTGTACACCCAAGAAGATGTGACAGAACAAATGTTTATGGGCTGTACACCCTAGAAGGTGTGACAGAACAAATGTTTATGGGCTGTACACCCTAGGAGGTGTGACAGAACAAATGTTTATGGGCTGTACACCCTAGGAGGTGTGACAACAAATGTTTATGGGCTGTACACCCAAGAAGATGTGACAGAACAAATGTTTATGGGCTGTACACCCTAGAAGGTGTGACAGAACAAATGTTTATGGGCTGTACTCCTTAGGAGGTGTGACAGAACAAATGTTTGTGGGCTGTACACCCTAGGAGGTGTGGCAGAACAAATGTTTATGGGCTGTACACCCTAGGAGGTGTGGCAGAACACATGTTTATGGGCTGTACACCCAGAAGTGTTACAGAACAAATGTTTATGGGCTGTACAC